AACGAAACAAAAAAAAAAAAAAGAATAAAATAAAATAAAACCAATGAAATTAAAAATTTATTACTTTGTTATAACTTAACTCAATCTTACAGTGTGCATTTACCGTGTTTTCGTCGAGTATATTCGTCATCGCCTAGAAATAATTAGGCATACGCTAAAGGGGTCAATACGTAGAAGGAAGAACTTAACCTAATTCTATTTCTAAAGTTAGGTTTTTGACTAGATTATGTTGTTTTTACGTAGGAGAAAGAAGAAAATATTCTAACGTCGACTAGATGTTTCTTTTCATCGCGAGATATTGTGTGAACAGCATTTGAAACTCGCATTTGCAGCTACTCGATTTACGTATAGTTCGTACTTGCTTCCTTGTATTCGGTGGCCGACTCGCGGTTATGGCTTTCAAAGGGGAAACTGTCGTTCTCGGTCAGGTGAAACAGAGTTTCTGGGTGAAGTGTACGCCGACGTATCGGTGACAGCGAGATTAGAAGGTATATTGACCTTTCCCTCCGGAGATTGTTGCGGTTTAGTAATTTGCACTCTCTGTACTGTCCTCCGAGCAAGATTAAAGCCATTGGTCGTTCTACCTCAGACAGACAGACAGACAGACAGAGAGAGAGAGAGAGAGGGAGGTCTACCGTTATTTACAATTTCTACCGTTCCTTTGTTCAATTGCTTCAATTTCAGCTGGCCGTCTACAAACCTCCAACCCATTATATCTGCTAGTATTGTTCGAATGAATCGTGCGACAGCTTTATTGCCACGCGGGCCGAAATTAATATTGCCCTGAAATCGGGCGCACGCTCTCCGCGCTTTCAGACTTTCACGGTCTGCCCCATTACTATAATACTTCGATTATTTCGCGCGATCGAGATTGTACTCCTTCAACTTTCATTTTACGCGTTTCCAATGTCTGCTGTTGGAGCAGCAGCAACTGTCAGGTAGTACAAACATTGGAAAAGAATGTAACTGTGATTTGTATTGGAACAGATTGACAGTTTGTTCGAATTGTTTGAATATTTTCTCCTTGATACGTTAGCGGCGATGTCGCATCGTTACTCAGCTTTTTATCTTGCCTGAAGAGACAGTCGAACCGAAGCTTGAGAAATTCCAACGAATATTTAGGCGAACGATTGGGGAAAATATATGGCACGGAGTGAGGAAAGGTGACAAAGACGACTGTGTTTTTACCAGAAATGAATCGCGAGTCTCTTCGAAAGTTCAAGCATAAAGACTAGAGTCTTCTCTGAGTTTGAGACAAAGTAAAAAACAAAAAAAAAAAAGAACAACTTTAGAATACAATGGAGTACGCAAGCTTTTATTTGTACATTTTGCGAAAAATTATTTAAATACGCTTTTGTTTGTACATTTAATAGGATTTCTAACAAAAATCGTAGATTGGTCATTTTGACCATTTCGGTAATTCTAACTCGAAGATTCGAGCTGGAGCCTCAACAACATCGAGATTTTAAAATTTCTCAAGACACTTAACCTTCAGAAATCTTAGAACTTTAAAAACTTAAAAGCTTGCAATTAGTGACAATAGCCCAGTCTTTAAAGAATCGCGAATCTCTCAGACTTCCAATTTCTAACAAATAATGTCGAAAATGAGCATCTCTGTTACACTCACGAGGCAAGGAGGGTGAGGGGTGTAAGGTCAAAGGCGCTGATAAGAAGGATAATCCGGCCAAATGGAGGCACTTCTAGCGGAATATTGACCCTCGCGGCGATACATCGAACCGGCGTAAATTAACATCAACGTGGTAACGACGGGGCCGCGTTATCCAATCCAGTTAAACTAGTTCGAATGAAGTAATTCGAGCGTGGTTGCTTAGGATATCGAGCGAGCCGAGCGGCGATTTATCGGCGGGCAGCATCGTGGCCGCGAGGAATGAATGGACCTTACGATCGAAACGATTAAACGTCGCTCGATTTACGTCGTTCGCGAAACGAGTACCGTTAAGAACATCTCTCTCTCTCTCTCTCTCTCTCTCT